TACTTTGGATTTAGCAGTTAAGTAAAAGCCAATATATAGTCAGTTTATGATATTTGTAACAAGATTGTTGCACACAGGTTTCTTTTTTAATACAAATATATTTTAATACACAAACAATAATCCAATTTACAATAACAGTTATTACAAACACTGATGTATAGTCAAAAATTTTACAAACAAGCAATATAAAGTCTTTCTAGTCTGGAACTTCCTTGATATCTTATCGAGGGTTCGGAATGAGCGAGTTCACGAAGAGCTAGCTAGCTTTGTCCTTCATTATTTATCAACCACACACGCCGAGTTTTCCACGATGAAGTTATACAACGTTTTCGTAAAAATACTAATGTCCGATGAGAATCCACTGAAGTTAAATGATTTGTAATGTTCGAACTTTGTAAATGCTCCTGTTCAAATATCTGAAGTTTCCGATTAATAAGCGTTATTACAATAACAGTAATAGTTATAGCTTCCGAAGTTTATAGCACACTGACTATAGCAAACTAATAATAGATACTGTTTTTTGGCGCGTGGAGTTGGTTATATTCGTAGGCGTGTGGACAGTTTCTCGAAAATTCAGATTACGTAAAAATACTAACACACTACATTAGAGTTTACATACACACATATATTGTTGATTCTTACACTCGAGAATCTTCTATAACTTTAGACAATAGACGGGAGTTTCTCAATACATATTTAACAGTATAAGTTATGTACATTTCTAAGTATGAATTTAATCTAAACAAACGTCGATATTAAAAAAATATATAATAATAAATCCGTCACAATAATATGAAACATTAGATTTTGTTTTCCAGAGAAGGTGCATATAAAACTTTGAAAACCATTGTTTTCAACCGCTTGTTCAATTGAAGAGAGAAATTTTATGTTCTCTGAGTTAATTCGTCTTTCATCAGTGTTGGTTACTGTAGAAGTATTGCAATACATTAGTTGAACATGGTTTTATAAATACATTGTGAAATGGTGGAGTCCTTGTGGTTAGCGTACCCGGATTGTGAATCCAAGGGTTCATGGTTCGCTTCTTGTTGGCGTAAAAAAACGTGCTTCGAAATTTGGGCCGTTAGAGTTACAGTTAAATATTCTATTCAATTAGGTAAGAATAGCCCATGCGTTGGCGGTGGTTGCCATTGGCTATCTGCCTTGCCTGTAATCTATTACATCAAAATTAGCGATGACAATGCGCAGGTAGACCTTTGTGTAGCTTTGCGCGAAAGTTTAAAATAAAAAAGAAACAAATAGTGTGAAATTGCTTTATTTGTCATTAATAATCATATTCTATGTATATATCTTGTTATATCATGATTAAATTTTAGTTAAACAAGAAATAGGTATGAACGTTTTTAGCATTTAGATTAGATTTTAATCGGTTTTATATGCAGTTTTCCGTGTAACAATGGAAGATAATCTTATAATGCAGTTACTGTGGACCGCTGATAGTTATGTGTGTGCCAAGTTTACTAATCCACATACACTTTATGCTAGATGAATAGTTAAGTACATCTCTGTTAAGAGAGAGAGAAGGATATTGGCATGTTTAAAGGATGTTATTAGTTCCTAATTTAGCATTTCTGTGCTTTATAGAATGTGGATTGTAAAATTTTCACAAGTTTTTTGGCATTATTTTCTGACGGCTAACTACTGCTGGATCCTGATGGAAGGACTGTACCTCCACAAACTTGTATTTCAAGCTTTCTTCACGGACGCTAGTAGTATTCTTCAGTATATTATTATGGGTTGGGGTAAGTTTCTTTTGGTATTATTTTGTTTGTTTTTGAGTATTTTATCACTATATATCCATCTGGTGTGTGTGACTTCAGGTGTTTAGTTTTTGTTTCATATTAATTAACATTACAATGTTAAATATTATTCAAATTAATATAAATTAACACTTATAATCCACGGAAAAGCAGTATAAATAACGGGATAATTAATTTAATAATAATCACATCAATTCTTATTTCTGTGGATAATCTTTGTAAACTGATTGGTTAGGCTTAGCTATACTGAATCACAAGCATCAAAATTGTTATTGCCAAAATGGAGTTGATTTGTAAACATTATAAGCATACAAAATGAAATAATGCACTCACAGTTTTAACATTATATAGGTTATTTCGTCATAAAGTTTGTTACAAACGAACGTAATTTTATAAAAATGTGTTAAAATTTTCTTTTCTTTTTCACCAGAGGTGAAATTGAAAAGAGAATCTGAGATGTATAGACCTAATTCATTATTTGATTGGCCGTACTCTCAACTATGGACTGCAGTTTCGCCTATTCACCTATTAAAGGCTCATCAGCACAGCTTGGGTCAGCAATGGTGAAGTGTGTATAATATCTATGAGGTTTTGAGTCCGTTTTACTTTACTATATAATAATCTAAATTAATTTAGATATGTGAAGAATGATATGATATTTCGTCGAATTCATTATTCAATATTATACAGCGGAGCAACTGTTTGTAGATTGTATATATACGTTAAAAATGTATTTTATTTTCCACCAGAATGTTTTTCCATAACATTATTGACATATCTAAATTAATTTAGGTTATATATGGTGAAGGAAAACGGATTCAATACCCTACAGATATGACACTTAATCGTTGATCCTCTAAAACAGATTAGTTAGGAACGACATTCAACTAATGACTTTCTAAATCAACAAAGTAAAATATCGTGATGACATTTATAAACGACAAAGGAGCAACAGGGACACTCTTAATCAATTTAGTGACATCGAAGTTGAACACGCGAAGTTCTTTCTTATATTAACATCTTGTATATATATATATTGATAAATTTTCACACACAGTTTGAAATGTCTGATGGCTTTGGACAAGCATCTCTTGATGATTAACTAGCCGAGTTTGGATCGCAAAATTCAGATTGGAGCCACTATATGCTGCTGAAAACTTTCCACACTTTAGGCTGTGGAATGCATATTATTATTGTCAAGTCAATCCCATTGTTTAGTGGAGAGTAGCCGTATAAGCGGCTGTTGCTTATTGGTTGTCCTCCTCCAGTTATAAGTTAGGGGTCTCTATCCTCGCCGCTTAGCTTGTGTGTCACAGGTTTGTTTGTTTGTTTTGAATAGTGGGATTGACCGTCCCATTATAACGCCCCACGGCTGAAAGGGCGAACATGTTTAGCGGGACGGGGATTCGAACCCGCGGTCCTCAAATTGCGAGTCGAGCGCCCTAACCACTTGGCCATGTCGGGCCTGTGTGTCACAGGACGGTATAATTCAGATTGAAAGTACTAACATAACATATCAAAAAAAAAAAGATTATTACCTTAGAGAAGCTATAAACATTCCACATATCTAATGGTATCTTATATTCACTAGTGTGTGTCTCATCACAGCTACATTAAGATATAGAATTTCTAGTGATCGCTGTTATTTTATGTAAAATGTCTACAGTTATGGCCGAAAGTTTTACATCACCCTATAATGATCTAATGTTGCTTCATAAAGTTGAATAAAACCTGCTGAATAATGTTACTTTAAAGGCTGCATGGAGTCGTCTAAAAGATAAATTGACCCTTCAGCGCTTCATTGAATCCATGTTTTAGAGGATTAAGAAGGTCTTGAAAAAAACATGGAATACATTGCAAATACTTAGTACTACTATTATAGCTTCCGGTAGACTTTTTTCAATTTATTTGATTACATTATGTTAAATTAAAGATCTAAATTATGTTTTTGTTTGTTTGTTTATGTACATCTCATTCCTAAAATTCTATGGTGAGGCAAAACGTTTGGCTATAGGTTTAGAAGTCTTTATTGCTTTTGTATTCGAAAGTAAATATATAAGCATCCTCAAATCTCTACATACGAGGCTTTACTGGTAAACCTGGGCAAAGCCTAATTAATATTCTGATCTACGTATCAAAAGGAATCGCGATATGCCATTGAATGCTCGCACTTCCAGCTGTTGTGGCATTATAACTCAAATGGAGAATTTCGCTGTTTCTTTAAGAGTTACCGCAGAGTCCGTGCATGTTTAGGTTGAAAATACCACAAACCAGGTTTCTCCTGATATATACTTTCTGTGTTTAACCTCTGAAGCAAGGGAGGTTTATTATTACTATATTAATAAAAGTTCCAAATTTTTATGCCTATAGAATCAATCATCTGTGTGTTACGATACATAATTCGTGTTATTATTCAGTTATATTTGTGGTATATTAACTAAATGGTTGATAGACGTTTTGAACATATTCTGCGTTACGTTATGTTCGACTGAATGACTTATACTTATAAAAAAAAATGAAAATTAACAAGCTATTTTAGTAATTTCATCTTGTCAATTTTTGGATGATAAAATTTACCATTTGAGCAATGTCGTTCCTGCAGTGCTAAACTATTAAAGCAAGCACAGAGTTGGAGTATTGGTAATTTTGATTAAACTTATGATGATGTTCAAATGAAATTTACTACTTTAATCTAGAAAGAAACTTATTTTCAGGCTTACCTCTCCCATTTATCATCTCATGGGCAGTAGTGAGAGTCACTTTAGAAGATACCTTGTGAGTATTTCAATTATGATCTACCTATCCTAAGTTATTTAAGTTTTCAATTTGGACTTTACGAACTTTTCCGTTATCAACAAACCTCACAAGACTTTTAAAATAAAATGAGTATATTTTGAGAAATACCCGTTTTCATATACAGTTGAGCACCATAATTATTTCACAGTAGATCACTACAAAATACTTTTTCACATTTGAAGATTAAAAAGAAAAATAGTTTGTTTCACATTTGAAAACTAACTCTTCTCCCACCCCATGACGGATAAGCGGCAAGCTTGAGGGCTTATAACGCTAAAATTCGGGGTTAGATTTCTGAGATTAGCACAGTGCAGACACACCATTGCGCAGTTTTGCGTTAAAAAACAAACTAATGATCATTTCTTTCGTGCTTGAAGTATATGAAAAATTAACAAAAAAAAACTTCTTAATTTTCAATCAGTTTCATGATCAGTGAGTTTCAAAGCGTGTTGAGCATTAATTCGAGCTAAGTTGGTAATATAACTGTCATGATGTTAAATGATTAGAATACTAATGTAACGATAAAGTACTTTTTTCTGCAACATAAAATCATTTGACTGCTATGGTAGGAATATGTCTTCTTTGATAGTCACTGTAATATCCATTAGTTTTAAGCGTGTTTCACATGATCTGAAAGCTTAGAAAGCATCGATTTCGTTTTGGAAGTGGGTTATATATAGAAAATATAAAGTGTTTCGCTCTTTCAGGTCTATAAAAACTAATAGACTTACCAGCATGGTTCCCACGAGTAAGGAAAACTGGGAAAAGTCAGTGAATTTCATGTAATTCGGTAATTCTTCTAGAACACGGATGGCAAAAAAAAAAAATATCATTTTTGTTTTGTTTGTTTATTTTGAAATTCGCGCAAAGCTACACGAGAGCTATCTGCGCTAGCCGTCCCTAACTTAGCAGTGTAAGA